TTTTTAAAAAATATATAATAAATTGGTTAAAATAATTTAAAAATAGAGACTAAAGTGAGTAATCTATCAACATTAATGGCTGATTTTGATATTATGGAGTTTAAATTACCCAAAAGTGGCTTCATTCACACACTTGACCTCTTCCCTTTACCGTTTGCTTCTCCTCAACGTTGGGTAGCCTATAAAGTAATTTTAAAATTAGCTTAAATGCAAAACTCTGTCAAATTTCACGCGAGAGAGAGAGAGAGATTGGTAAAAGGCATAATTAAGGCATAATTAAGGGGTGTTTGTTCAAGGATTGTAGGATTTTTATGGGATGAGAATTTCACATTCCCATGTTTAGTTGGTCGAAAATCTCATTCTCGGTAATGTTTTATTATCAATAGTAGATTTTTTAGAGTATATTACCGGGAATGTCATTACCTCCCTTCCCTTAGGTATTGTAACATTACCGGCATTTTAGATTAAAATGTCCTTAAATTATTATTTTTTTTTTCAAAAATATCCTTCTTCTGTCATTGAATAATAAAAATTCTACGAATGTTAAATTACAAAATTATCCTTAAAGTATTTTAGATTTACAAAAAAATCTATAATTAAAATTTTATATGAAATTCAGGGATTAAAAAAAATTTACCATTTCATTAAATCTATTTTATATTTTTAATTTTATAAAAAAAATTATATAAATATTATAAATTTAATTTTTTAAAGAAAATATATAAATATTTTACAATTTATATTATTATACAAACATATAATAAAGATAATTTAGTCAAATATACATTTCAATAATCTTTTATTCCTTTAACCAAACACGATAATCTTACATTTCTACTGAACTAACCAAACACAAAATACAATATTCTCAATAATTTTATTTCTGATATTATTTTATTCTCACTACATTCTATTAACTAAACGCACCCTTAACACTTACGTCACAATCCACACCCATTTCTCACAACCTTTTGTTCAGCTCTTTCTTTGTTGTTCTTGGTGCCCGTGATTTTCTCGACAGAGAAAGATAGAAGGAGAAGGACCCAAGGTAGATATAGGGAGACAGATAAGTTTTGTTTGTTTTGTTTTGTTACAGATGCTCTTTCAATGGGGAAGAATGAGGATCAAAATCTGCAGCAAAGAGAGCAGAATGTTGAATCAGGGAGCAGTCAAGGACATCCTGGATTCTTTTGTGGGAGATGCTGGATGGTTTTGTCGAGCTTCAGTTTCAGATGTGTTTTTGTTTTTTTCCTCAGTTTGTCGGTGTTGTTGCCTGGGATCTTCTGGATCCTCCCTTCTCGCTCTGTAAAATCTGGGTTTGATGCTAAGCAAGCTATTAACCTCAGTGGTAAGTTTTCTTTATTGTTGTTGTCGTTGTTTCTCATGTCATTGAAGTTCCATTTTTGTAATTTGGGAACAGTTTGTTTGCTTGATTAGGGTTTTCCAGCAAATGGGTATTTTGATTCTCACTGCATTTTTGTTGTTTCATTTGGATCCTTAAGTGTTGAGTGTTAATGGGTATTTCCCTGATTGATATCTCATTCACCATCCGACTCTGTTTCAATTATGAATCTATGCTAGCTACTATTGTAACAGTGGAAGTGGTTGATTCCTATTGTATTAGCTTAAATTGGTAAGCAGTTTGATCTCAAAGAAAATGGTGACATTTTGCAAGATCATGTGCCGAATTGTAAGTACTCGATTCTATATTGAACTCGATACTCTTCCTTGACATGCTTACTTCTTTCTTGAAATGAGCTACCAAACTAAGTTAAATCGACTCAGTTCCAGAGTTCCTTGATTCGAATTGATCCCTTCCGGGTTTGGTCTAAATGCATATCGAAATAAGACCTTCCATCGGAATGAATGTCCTTTCAAGGTCATTGATGTAGTTCCATTAGTAAGTTTCCTTGTTTGTTGCTTATGTTATTATTATTTATTCTTTGCGGCCCCCGTTCATGTACACTTTACACTTGAGAAACCGGTGTCGGAGCTTGTTCAGCATATCAGAAAGTTAGAGTATGATATCTATGAAGAAATAGGTGTTCCGTATACCAAGGTAAAATGCCCAGCTTCTGCCATTATATGTGTTAAAAGTTGATATAAAAGCTACTCATTTTCAACAGGTGGCTATCCTATCCATGCACAAGTCTGGTGCATCGAACTCTACTTATGTGGTGTTTGGTGTTCTTCCCGATCCTGTAAATAGACCGATAAATCCAGTATACCTAAGTGTGCTGAGATCATCTTTAATCGAGCTGTTCCTCCGCCACTCCAATCTGACTTTGACGACCTCCGTATTTGGGCAGCCATCTGAGTTAGAGATTTTAAAGTTTCCTGGGGGGATCACCGTGAACCCTTTACAATCTGCTTCTATTTGGTAAATAACCCAGATTTTATTCAATTTTACTCTATATAATTCGATATCCGAAATAGATGACAAATTCATCGAGCTAAAGGATCAGCTAAAATATGGATTGCATCTGAGGTCTTATGAGGTATGAGATCATTTTCAAACAATGTTTACTCAGTACACTTTGGTTTTCATGTTGATATATGGTAGCCTTCAGATATATTGCAGTTTTATAATTGTTTTTATTTGTTCATTGCAGAATTTGTTTGTGCAATTAACAAACAGAAATGGCTCCACAATGTCCTCTCCTGTCATAGTTCAGGCTTCGATGATGTCAGATGGTTTCGGTAACCTTCTGCCTCAGAGATTAAGGCAGTTGGCTCAAACCATTACAAGCTCTCCGGCGAAGAATCTCGGTTAATAATTCAGTCTTCGGTAAAGTTAAAAGCGTTAGCTTGTCATCTTATCTGAATGGTACGCTTCATCCTACCTCTGCCACTCCTCCACTAGCTTTGTTTCCGGGGCCGTCAATGTCCCGGTATCCTACTTTTTCACCGAGTCGCTCTCCGGCACCAGCATCCAAGAAGCATCATCTTCCGCATTGTTGCAAATGCAAATCTGCTGCTCCTTCCAGTCATAGTCCAATTCATTCACCACGTCCGGAAAGTGGCTCCTACCCTACTTTTCCACCTTTAATTTCTCCCAAACCTTCTAGTTCAGCAATGCACCCTCCACCCCCCCTGTCCGTACACTCACCCTGCAGTTCCGCCAAACTCTTCTCCGAGATCTCATTCTAGCCAATTTTCTAACCATCCACCTCTAATGAGTCCTGGATCAAAGTTGTCTCCAGATCTACCACCTTTACCTTCTGTGTCTTACGGCTCTCATCCAGGCGAGGGTATGGACAGCAATAAAGGCCCGGTTTCTGCACCACTTGCTCAGTCTCAACCCGTGCTATCTCCTTCATGTAAGAATATATGCTTAAGTGAAAACACAATGCCACTTGTGCTAACTGCTAAGTGAATACATGCATTTCTTTGAATTCTCATTGTATTATTTATATTATAGCTAATTTGCTTTGAATGTTTTTTGTGATTGTTGAGCATTTGCAGCTATAGCAACAGATGTTATCCCCAACGAACTCTGGTTATCAGCACTCTTAGGATTCGTGACCTTCCATCTTCATTTATGATCAAGATCGATTCATTTTGTGTTATACCTTCTATGCATGGTTTTCAGAACCGGACCGGTTAGCAAACCGGTCATGCTACGGTTCACTGGTTCAACCGGTGAACCGGTCTGACCGGTCGGAAGAACTGGACGACGTCATAATTATTTAAAAAATTAAATAAAAATACCAAAATATTTAATAAAAAATAATTTTTTATATCACAAGTCATACTCAAAGCAAGTCATAACATATATAAGTTAAAAACCATAAAATCAAGTGAAAAAAATGATTCAAATTAATACAACATAATATTTAAGTTAAAACATATTAAATAATAAATATAATTATATAACTATAATTAAAAAATAAATTTGGAGTTAAAAAAATTCATAATAAAATGATATTGTTTGATTTAATTTTTTTTAAAACAATCCCACATGGTTAACAAACATAGAAGAGCATCCCAAAAGTCTAAAGAGAAAATATGAGAACAAAACAATCTCAGATTGTTAAGAAACATAGAAGCGCATCACAACTAACTTCTATAAATAAAAGAGGTAATTTGACATTCAAAATCATTGAGCCTTTTGGTGAGCATTGAGTGAACTATTCTTTCACTTCAATCAAGCTCGAATTTTAGGTTTCAATCGAGTTTTCTAATTTTTTTTTGAGTTTAAGTATTTTTGAGTTCAAATTTTAATATTATATTTTGAGTTTGAGTTGAACTTGATAATTTTTAGCTTGTGAGTTTGAGTTGAGTTGAGTTTACTTTTAAAGTTTTCAAGTTCGAGTCTAGCTCAGCAATACTCGAATTCGACTTGGCTCGTTTAACAAACGACGTTGTTTAGTTTAATTTGTTTTTTTTAAAAAAAAACAAAAAATTCGATTTTTTCGGTTTTTTCTGATTTTTTTTCGGTTTTTAGTCGGTCCGGTTCGAACGGTTCAGCGGTTCTGATCGGTTCACTAATAACGGTTCAACCGGTTTAGATTAAACCGGATTAAACAACGGTTATTGGTTGAACCGGCCGGTCCGATTTTCAAAACAGAGCTTCTATGTTCCAAAGCATCAAAAGTTTTGATAAGGCAATCATGGTAGAAGGCCCGGCGAAAAAGTTCTGAAGGTATTCCGGGGAAACAATGTACATGTAAATGAAATGTCTAAGCAGAAATCTTACTTCGAGTTCGTGACAAAATACAGCGGTTGTTTCTTTCCAAAATGGGAATAATAACTCCAAGAGATGGTTTGACTACTTAAAGTAGTCATCAACATGCTGGTTTCAACAAGAACCATCTCTTATATATTGATTTAAGTGTAAAGAAAATGCTGGTCCTTTTTTTTAAGAACATGTTGGAAATGTAAAGAACTATTGTTTTGTAATACACAATGAATGATTAAAACAGTATAGATTTTTACAAATCATCATATGTACCACTTTATGTATGTATCTATACACACGCGCACGCGTGAACACACAATTACCTTAGTTTGAAAAGTTTGCAGAAACCGGTTCCAAATGCAGGTGGCTGATATATAGGGAACCTATAGAATGAACCAAGAGGGCCACCAGGAGCTAGCTGCAGGGAAGATAACATAGCTATTGTGTTACACAATGACAGTAATGTAAACAGTGAACATGCAGGTGATTAAGCTCTGATAGCAGATCCTACCCTCTTGAGAAAAATTATGGCCACTGATCATGCTATCGAGAGAGTCGAGATAACTGCATGTCCAATGAGAGAATATGCGAAGATGCCTAGAATAGAGCAACCATGTCTGCAACCAAGTTAAGCCATTTGCCAGATCTTCAACACCAAGACCAATGTCCCGATGATTCATCTCACTAGTTTCGTAGGCGTCATTACCGGCAGTGTTATTAGAATCCCCATTGATCTTGAAACGACATGTGGTTTTAATGTTCAAACACGACATGATGCAATCCGAGTGGTACAAATGCGTGCAAGGTAGCTTTATTGCTTCTCCACCGACCTCGAACTCATCTCTGCAAACAGGGCAATGCGTGGTGTTGGCTACATGGTTTTCAGTGATGTTCACCGTCCGCAATGCTTCGATGGCTGATGTGGCTGGTTCGGCGGTTAACTCTTCAGTGCCTGCATTACTTGGCTGCTGGTCCGGTGGTTCAATGAAACTGAGAGTGATCCAAGGTCCATTTTCAGGGCCTGATTCCCAACAAATTCGTCGTCCGAAATCAGCATCATGTCGATGATGGCTTAGAGACATGTTTTTGGTTAAACTATAATCGAGGTTTGAGGAAGAAGAACCCGAAGCTCCTTATATGGGATGTGGTGTGAATAAGAAGCTAGAAAAGGATACCTTATCGATATACAGCGAGGGATTCCTTTTTCTCTTTGAACGGGAACGTTTTCATGGATTTCTGTTCGTAATTTACTCTGATTGTCTAATCTTCCAGGAAAAGCAAAGGATGATTGATAATTATGTCAACTTGGTAGCTTTTGATGAATCAAGTTTATTCGTAATTTTGTGAAGGAGAGAGTCCAGAGATCAGAACAAAGTCAATTTTTTTAAAAAAAAGGAAATTCTTTATTCAGTCTTAAATAATTATTATAATATTTAATTATTATTATCTTAATTTACTAAAGAAAAATTACTATAATACTCTATTTCTTTAAAGCAGACAAAATCTTCTTAAACTCGAATTAAATTAAATTTTAAATAAAAAATACTTTTCTAAAATCGAGTTAAGTGAAATCTCGACTCAATTCAACTCATCGATTCTTTAACTCCATTCCTGGTTATCCCAAACACGTCACGTCTTTTAAGGTGCGTGAACGACACTACATCTCCACGTCGCGTGAAATTTTCATTTCTCGATCACTTCACTTCTCCAAGAAAAAAAAATAGCCACTAATCGATTCGTCGATCCATTTCTACGCTACTCATTTCCTCTCTGAAAAAACAAAGTTCCTTGGCGCTTATCTCTCAATTCCCTTCGTCTTGGTCCCCAATTCTTCCCAATTTCCCCCGGAATGTTCATTCATGTTATCTTTACTTTTTAATGTTTGAAGAAAATTTTCTTTCTGCAATGAAATCATTTAATAGTAAATACTTTCGAATGATTTTTTTTTATAGATTGTTTTAGATCTTAGATGGGTAGAGATTGAATTCCCATGTGGGCGAAATCTCAGCTTCATGTTCTCCTGTGATTATTTAGTAAGTTAATTTACTGTATTATAGCGTGAATCCCTTGTTAAAAGCACGTTGTTTTGATTCTATTAGTCTATTGAATCTGGGTGTTTTTGTTTTCAGATGAGCCTTGATATCTCCATCTGACCCATTATATCGATCTGAATTCAACGATCTTTTCTCAAGGTAGGTGTGATATTTTTCAAGTTCGTCTTTTTGAATTTTGAGTTTTCACGTTATATCTGGGTGTCCATTGGTTCTGATTGTTATTTTGTGATGTTTAATCTCAATGGTGATCTAATTCACTTGTAAAATGGATAATCAAACATGGTTCTGAATTTATCATAGTGTATCATTCCCCTCCCCCTTCATGTTGATGACACTGGTAGATAATCTGATTCACTTTTTGAAAATGGATGTGAATTTTATCAAGGATAATGGTATGTTATGTTTTCGATTTACGAAGCCAGAATTTTGTTTTTATTTATATGTTGGATTGGGATTTCCCCCCTAATATCATGGGATTTTCTGATTTTGCAATTTATTTTGAGGTGTAGTTTGCAAATAGCAAAAGGTAGCAAAGGACGATGCGGGATCACTTTCCGGCTATTCCGGCTGTAGACACTCATTTTCGCCCGAATTTATTTTGTTTTATATATATATATATATATATATATAATATAATATTTGAAAAGGTTTTAGAAAAATATGGTATATAATTTTCAGAAATCAGTTTTCGAAAATAAATATATTATATAGATTTTGAAATCATTTTTAAATATATATATAATATATAATTATTTTTATTATTATTTTTTTTTTATTTTTATTATTCGTTTTATTTATTTTGTTTTTTCAGGTCCAACGTACGGTCAGAGTCCAAACCGTCCAAATCGAGCCTGACCCAACCCAGTTTCTAAGCTAGGGTTTTCAACTTAGTCCAGCGCCGCATGGCTTATAGCCGTTAGATCAAAGCAGTGATCAACGGCTCAAATCGCGTGATAGCTAGGGTTCTGAAGCCCTAAATGTTTCATCAAATGCACAGCCAGATCTGGACCGTTGGATCTGACCCAATCCAACAGTCGAGATCAAATCAAGGAATATTCCAGAAGTCACACCAACAGTCACAGACGGCGCGAGATTTCCGGTCGAGATCCCCGGGACTGACCCATCCCGGGGTGACCGGTCACAACAACCACGATCACCCCTATTTCGGAACTAACAGGCCACGGTGGGGTATAAAGACCCCCACCAAGCCACTGCAAGGGGGGACAATCATCAGAGAACACAGAACCGAGGGAGAACCCACGAGGCATCACAACCAAAATCTGAGAACACAGTGAAATAGACCACCACGGTCGAACAAACCGAGCCATCACAAAGCCGTCAACAGAGAAAGCCAACATTAAGCACATCAAACAACAATAAACAGTCGAACCACAAACAGAAAGAAACGCAAAGCAAAAACCGTAAAAAAAACAGAAGGGAACCAAGAGGAGCCAAGCCTCACAACCGGAGAACCACTGGAAGCCGAAAAGGTCGACGCATCAAAGGTGAAGGCCGAGACTTTCGGCTTAGATCTACGCTAGTAGGGGTGAGTTTTGGGTCTCGGATTTGTGTGTACGAGGTTGAGGGGAGTATTTTGCTAAAGGGTAGGCTTTTCCGGCCGCCGCGCGGCGGCGAGGCGGCGGCGGCACGGCGAGAAGCCACCGGACTTTGACCGACCATGGGGAAAGGAGAGAGCTTGGATCTTCTCTCGTTTGGAGAAGAAGAAGTCTGGACGAAATGTGAGAAATGAGTTGGGAGAGGGTCTCTTGGCCCATTTATATACAGGGGCCTCCTTGCAATTAGAGGATTTTTTAATTCTCTCCGCAGTCCCTGGACGTTTGAATCGTTTTACAATCTGGTCACTGTATGCAATTTGGCCTCTGAATTTTGATTTATTCAATTCAGTCCCTACTTTTAATTTACATTTTTTTCACAATTTGGCCCCTAACTTTTTTTTATTTTGCAGTTCAATTTTAGTACCTGATTAATCCATCCATTTTAATTTGTTTTAATTTAGTCTTTAACTTTTTTTTCCTTTTTAATTTTAGCATTTTTTTAGTTATTCATTTTTACCTTAATTTTAATGTGTTGTAAATAATTTATTATTTTTAAAATCTAGCATTTGTATTATTATTATTTTTTCCTTCCTTTTATTTATTCAATATTTACTTTTTTTTTCTCTTTCTCTTTCCCTAACAATTTTGACTTTGTAGAGAAATTCCAATTGATTAAAGGTGAGTAATTCGAATCGAGTAATTTAAATTTTCTAATTTTCGCTATAAAGACAACCAACAAATTAATTGGTACCGAAAGGGCGGTTCAAGGGTGCTAATCATTCATTGACCGTAACCGACTCCCGAACTCGACACGTTTCTGGTACAACGCAGATCAGGTAAGATGATGTCCGACCCACCTAAATTTGTTTTAAAGTGGTCGGTGGCGACTCCAACCCAATCAATTCAAGTCGAAGCCCAATTTCGGGGTCCAACCGAAAGACAGTTCCGACAGCTTGGCGACTCCACTGGGGACAGGTAATTGAGTCAAGCCGAAATTAATTTTCGGTTGTCTTTTAAGCGAAAATGGTAAGTTTAAATTTTAATTTATTTATTCGATTCTAATTATTTATCTTTGATTATTTTTCAAATAAATAGTTGTACTAACGTTTTAATGATTTCAGATTTTTTCAAGCTCTAAACCTGAGCTCCGAACCTATTTTAAGTGGGGGTGAAAGCGACGCATTCGTGTGAATTTATTCACCGTATATGCCTAGCAAGTAGCCTTCGGGATTCATATACCTTATGTCTTCGTGTGAATTTATTCACCGTGCAGGCATAAGGGAATGTGTCATCTCGAGTTTAACTTAGTCCACACAAGCCTGTGATAGGCTTAGGACTAAGGGCTGGTAAGCCCAAGGGGGCACCGGTAAGGAGAACTCGAGTACCTTTTTAGAACCTAAACCGGGAGAGTACAGGGAATTAGAGCCTACCCCGAAACCTCATTCCAAACCCTAGGCTATTTTATTTCCTGCTTTATTTTCTGTTCAAAGCATGCGAACTAGACAAACATGTGGTTAGATTTTGTTTGAAATTAGCATGTGGGATAGAGATTATGTCCGGGTAGGAATAATAAGCATGTGGGGTAGATATCATGTGGGGTAGGACTTTTCATTTTTATCATTTTTTTATTATTATCCTTATCTCATTAACTTTTTTTCCTCCTTTCATTTTTGTTCTTTGACATTTTTTTTATCATTCGCATCATTTAAAAGAGGTGTTGATTCCCCAAAAATGTGTTTGTTAAAACATGAATAATCTGCATTAATGGATAATGGGGTTGTAATACAAAGAGATGAAAAGCTCAGAAGTCCAGCTGTGGTCAAAGAATACCCAGAGGCAAAGGTTGCAGGGGCAAGACGAGGAAAAGGTTACTGACCCGGGCGCTCCTTTCGAAAACTACGAGAACAAGATGGTGAAACCTTAGCTGAGCTAGATGACATTGCTAACGAATTCAAGAAGCAAGCTTCGTATAGTCTCTATCGATGAAGGGCTCAAATGGTGTTGCCGTTTGGGAACAGACTCGACATAGAGTGAAAGACGGGGATGCAGTCCTTCGAGACCTTTTTGGGGCAAGCAGCTCGTCATCTGCACAAATTTAGCCAAAGGAGCCAGAATGGTTCGACAGGATATTCAACTGGTGAAAAAAGGCGGAAGACGAATCAACTTGTCATAAGCTGTCATGATATTTTTGTCTCTTAAGAGATAAAACACTTTTGTCCCCAATAAGGATTATTTATAATAACAGACACATTTTTCGGATCAATGCCTCGAACATTTCATGCATCATGCATTATTGCATATTTCGCATAGTTCTTCTTTTTTCACTGCATTCACATGAACTAATAAGATATTTTCATAACGGAAGGTACAAACACTGGATATACCTCCACAAGCTTCGGACACGTGTCATCCTCATTCAAACCGAAAAGAAGATGGAAGCCAGAATTACTCAGATCGAAGATAACATGTTGAAGCTCCATAGAGAGTTAGAAGAAAAGATAAATCAGAATAGCCAGAGTACCCTAGATGCAATCACGAAAGGCCAAGAGTCCTTGATCGATCAGATCGTTGCCAAGTTAGTTGGCTTACGTCAGACAACTGTGCTTGGGGCAGGCTCATCGGAAGGGTAACCATGCCACCTACCCCGCAAGTGGTTGTCTCACCTAGAATCTTACCAGACTTCAAGATAATTCAGATAGTTATCGCATTCCGAAATTTGAAGAAGATGTCAAAACAATGAGGGTAGAAATTACCATTAACCCAGGAGGTAGAATGGGTGGAAAACCTCCCCTGAAGAAGAAAGAAAAAGAGATCATCAACATTTCAAAGTCGTTTTCAGTCGTACCCTTTTGTAGGCAAAAACCAAGGAAGGAAAAAGAGCATTTTGATCTCATTCCCATGACATACAAGGAGCTCTACCAACAACTGTTTGACGCACATGTGGTGTCACCCTATCCCGAGACACCTCTAAAGCCCCCATACCCCAGGTGGTATGACAAAAATGCGCACTGTGAATATCATGGCAGTGTTCCGGGGGATGCTATCGAAAATTGCCTCCTCTTTAAGAGGGTTATCCAGAGGATGCGCAACAGGGGTTGGATTCATTTTAATAATTCAGAATCACCCCACGTTGCACAGAACCCCCAACCAAATCATGAAGGGAATAAGGAAAGTGCAGTCACCGAGGAAAGGGTAAAAAGGCCAAAACCAGAGTTTCCGAAGTGAAGTCACCTCTTGCTTGGGTATGGAGGCAAATGATAAATGCGGGGTTTCTTGCACCACATCTTAGTACATCAGATTCCAAAAGTGACAGTTATTGTTGTTATCACAATGAAGATGGACATGATGTACAAGAATGTGCCAAATTTAGAGCCTTGATCCAACTAATGATGGACAGGAAAGAGCTGGAATTTTACGATGAAAGCAATGACACTCCTAAAGCAGAAAAAGTCATGGCAAGTGAGGCATCCTGACGAGGCTTTATTCAATTTTGAGACATCTTGTTTGAATTTGTTTTGGATTTTTTTTTTCATGTTTGAGACTTGTTTTTGAACTTTCTTTGGATATTTGAATAAATTTATACTACTTTAAAGATTGTAAGCAATGAATCACATTTGCAAACTCGCAATTCTTTGAATATCATATGCATTAAGAAACTCTGTAAATGGTTCGAAGTTACAGATCTTTGACGAAGTAACATGATTTAAAAACAATGACTTTGACCTTACCCGGAATATACACCCAAACACCGTACCCTGCTCTTGCAATTAACCAGTGTAACATTTTCCTTTCATAAGGTGCGGACAACGTGGGGCATCATTTGCATATGCTATTACTATGCTTTTTATTTAAGACGTTCAGTGATGATAATAATCCTCACAGATGGAATAGTCGAGTAGGTGAATCTAGTTTAGGCCAGTTGCTTGGAAATTGAACTCTAAAAGATGATATTCCTTGACTTTCAAAAAACACCTAGACTATAACAGGTTCTTCTTAACAAACTTAAGAAATTTGATCCGTGTACCCAGATTATACTATTATATATACAATAAAGCTTGGGTTGTCCCTCTAAAGCAATTGGTTAAAACGCCTCAGCTTTATGGATAATATTCAGCTAGCCTGATAAAGGTGATTATACTATACAATAAAGCTTGAGCTGTCCCTCTAAGGCAATTGGTTAAACGCCCCGGCTTTATGGATAAGATTTCAGCTAGCCTGATAAAGGTGTTTACATATTGGGCTGTCCCTCTAGAGCAATTGGTTAAACGCCCCGGCTTTATGGATTTAGCTAGCCAAATAATGGCAATTTTAAATAAGGAGTTTCGGTAAAATGGACTAAGGGAGTTAAGGAACACCTGTTATAGTCAAATACACACGAGCACTCAAGAATTTCATTTTTAGATCGACATTTCTGCACTACCTTTATTAGAGGAGCCTACAAAACTTGAACAAATGGAAGATTTCAGAGGACCGAAATAGAAGGTCTAGTAATTTATTATGCTAGTTGCGTCATTTTGTCCGCATCCAATTAAAATGTCAAGCCAAAAAACATGTTGCAATAACACAAAAATGACATTTTAGGTCAACCTGAAGTCAACTCATCCATTTGAACATTTGTCAAAGAGATATAACTCTGAAAGCATTAAAAGAGCTATTGATTCCTTTGATATCCTTTGAACTCATTTGATTCAATTGCGAATAATATTTTACAACATTTTTATCATCTCCCTCCTAAAATAAGAAAAAGGAAAAAACATTTTCAAACAGGACAGTCTCAAATATGAAAGGTCTGTAAAGCCAAAGCTCGAGAAGCAAATGGAGCACGATCGATTCCATGAACCAAAGTGGCAGACAAAACACGAGACTCCAGTCCAAGAAATAACACAGAATTCATTCATGTTGCATGCATCTTAGACATACTTAGGTGCATCACATTCATCATTTTAGCATACATAATTTTTGCAGCTTTTAGAGTCAAGCTTCGACTTCAGGATGAAGGCTACTCGACTTGCAAGCACCTTTAAAGAACGATGGTGGTTGCTTAACTCAGCAGTGAGAAACTACACCTCAACCGACTTGACTGACACATCTACAGATCTCAGAACTAATTCCAGATAGGTTCGAGAACCAATTCAGATCAAATTCAGTTCAGCTCAACTCAACAATGAGCAGCATGTTTCCAGTTTATGTTTTTAAGCCAGATTTCAATTCCACAACGAAAGATATTCGGCTGTCAGAATCCATCAGTGGGCTTTTTCGTAAAAGGGGAGTCATCCAAATATCGTCTCACTTGGTTCCGACTCGCTCAGAGGAACCACCTGAAGAATCATGACCGGCTTCGACCCGTTAAGGGAAGCCATTTTTTTTTAAAAACAAATCATTTGCAGCACAACTTAAGTCTAGAAGGGTTGTCTGGCAACAAAAGACCGTTGAGTTTGACTACGCTCAGCTCAACGGCACATCATTTGCAGTATAGCTTAAGTCGAGAAGGGCTATCTGCCAAAGACCTTCGAGTTCGATTACACTCAGCTTTGAGGGCACATCATTTGCAGCATAACTTAAGTCGAGAAGGGTTATCTGCCAACCAAAGACCTTCGAGTTCGACTACGCTCAGCTCCAAGGTATATAATTTGTAGTACAACTTAAGTCTAGAAGGGTTGTCTGGCAACAAAAGACCGTTGAGTTCGACTACGCTCAGCTCAACGGCACATCATTTGCAGTATAGCTTAAGTCGAGAAGGGCTATCTGCCAAAGACCTTCGAGTTCGATTACACTCAGCTTCGAGGGCACATCATTTGCAGCATAACTTAAGTCGAGAAGGGTTATCTGCCAACCAAAGACCTTTGAGTTCGACTACGTTCAGCTCAACGGCACATCATTTGCAGCATAGCTTAAGTCGAGAAGGGCTATCTGCCAAAGACCCCCGAGTTCGATTACACTCAGCTTCGAGGGCACATCATTTACAGCATAACTTAAGTCGAGAAGGGTTATCTGCCAACCAAAGACCTTCGAGTTCGACTACGCTCAGCTCTAAGGCATATCATTTGCAGCACAACTTAAGTCTAGAAGGGTTGTCTGGCAACAAAAGACCTTTGAGTTCGATTACGCTCAGCTCAACGGCACATCATTTGCAGTATAGCTTAAGTCGAGAAGGGCTATCTGCCAAAGACCCCCGAGTTCGATTACACTCAGCTTCGAGGGAACATCATTTACAGCATAACTCAAGGCTAGAAGGGTTATCTGTGACCAAAAGACCTTCGAGTTTGACTACGCTCAGCTCCAAGGCACATCATTTGCAGCATAGCTTAAGTCGAGAAGGGCTATCTGCCAAAGACCTTTGAGTTCGACTACGCTCAACTCCAAGGCACATCATTTACAGCATAGCTCAAGGCAAAGAAGGGCTATCTGTCAATAAAATTGTCGAGTTCGGTTCCATTCAGCTCGATGACACCCCAACCACACTACTGTTCGGCTGCAATCAAGGTTTTCAAGTCGAGAAGAAGACCTGGGTTAACCGTGCCTTAGTGACAATAAATCATTTTTCCGGCAGCATAGCTTAAGTCGTGAAAAGCTATCTGTCAATGAAGACCTTTCGAGTTCGATTTCATTCAGCTCAAGGGCCTATCAACCATATGGTGGAGTCAAAGAATGATTTTTCAGTCGAATTCTCAAACCAAGGTCTTTAAACCGAGAAAAAAGATAGAGGCGGACTACGACGAGAAGCCACATTCTGTTTCAAATTCTGAACTACGACTTCAATTCTATATCATTTCAAGATGGACTCGACTTCGCAAAGGATGAGCCATCCGGAACTCAAATTCGACAGGGGGGTATTCTTCTCCACCGAGCGAAAATTTGTGTCTTTTTATCTTTGTCCTATTTTTCGTTCTACGAAAAAGGACAAAGAGGGGCAGTTGTAGACACTCATTTTCGCCCGAATTTGTTTTGTTTTATATAAATATATATACAAATATATATATATATATATATATATATATATATATATGTAATATATAATCTTTGAAAAGGTTTTAGAAAATATGGTATATAATTTTCAGAAATCAGTTTTCGAAAATAAATATATTATATAGTTTTTGAAATCATTTTTAAATATATATATAATATATAATTATTTTTTTTTTTTTTTTTTTTTATTTTTATTATTCGTTTTATTTATTTTATTTATTTTGTTTTTTCAGGTCCAACGTACGGTCAGAGTCCAAACCGTCCAAATCGGGCCTGACCCAACCCAGTTTCTAAGCTAGGGTTTCTCAACTTAGTCCCAGCGCCGCATGGCTTATAGCCGTTAGATCAAAGCAGTGATCAACGGCTCAAATCACGTGATAGCTAGGGTTCTGAAGCCCTAAATGTTTCATCAAATGCGCAGCCAGATCTGGATCGTTGGATCTGGCCCAATCCAACGGTCGAGATCAAATCAAGGAATATTCCAGAAGTCACACCAACAGTCACAGACGGCGCGAGATTTCCGGCCGAGATCCCCGGGACTGACCCATCCCGGGGTGACCGGTCACAACAGCCACGATCACCCCTATTTCGGAACTAACAGGCCACAGGTGGGGTATAAAGACCCCCACCAAGCCACTGCCAAGGGGGGACAATCATCAGAGAACACAGAACCGAGGGAGAACCCACGAGGCATCACAACCAAAAACTGAGAACACAGTGAAATAGACCACCACGGTCGAACAAACCGAGCCATCATAAAGCCGTCAACAGAGAAAGCCAACAGTAAGCACATCAAACAACAGATAAACAGTCGAACCACAAACAAAAAGAAACGCAAAGCAAAAACCGTAAAAAAAAAAACAGTAGGGAACCAAGAGGAGCCAAGCCTCACAACCGGAGAACCGCTGGAAGCTGAAAAGGTCGACGCATCAAAGGTGAAGGCCGAGACTTTCGGCTTAGATCTACGCTAGTAGGGGTGAGTTTTGGGTCTCGGATTTGTGTGTACGAGGTTGAGGGGAGTATTTTGCTAAAGGGTAGGCTTTTCCGGCCGCCGCTCGCGGCGGTCGAGGCGGCGGCGGCACGGCGAGAAGCCACCGGACTTTGACCGACCATGGGGAAAAGGAGAGAGCTTGGGATCTTCTCTCGTTTGGAGAAGAAGAAGTCTGGACGAAATGTGAGAAATGAGTTGGGAGAGGGTCTCTTGGCCCATTTATATAACAGGGGCCTCCTTGCAATTAGAGGATTTTTTAATTCTCTCCGCAGTCCCTGGACGTTTGAATCGTTTTACAATCTGGTCACTGTATGCAATTTGGCCTCTGAATTTTCGATTTATTCAATTCAGTCCCTACTTTTAATTTACATTTTTTTCACAATTTGGCCCCTAACTTTTTTTTTTATTTTGCAGTTCAATTTTAGTACCTGATTAATCCATCCATTTTAATTTGTTTTAATTTAGTCCTTTAACTTTTTTTTTCCTTTTTAATTTTAGCATTTTTTAGTTATTCATTTTTACCTTAATTTTAATGTGTTGTAAATAATTTATTACTTTTAAAATCTAGCATTTGTATTATTATTATTTTTTCCTTCCTTTTATTTATTCAATATTTACTTTTTTTTTTCTCTTTCTCTTTCCCCTAACAATTTTGACTTTGTAGAGAAATTTCAATTGATCAAAGGTGAGTAATTCGAATTGAGTAATTTAAATTTTAATTTAAATTTTCTAATTTTCGCTATAAAGACAACCGATAAATTAATTGGTACCGAAAGGGCGGTTCAAGGGTGCTAATCCTTCGTTGACCGTAACCGACTCCCGAACTCGACACGTTTCTGGTACAACGCAGATCAGGTAAGATGGTGTCCGACCCACCTAAATTCGTTTTAAAGTGGTCGGTGGCGACTCCAACCCAATCAATTCAAGTCGAAGCCCAATTCCGGGGTCCAACCAAAAGACGGTTCCGACACCGGCCAACCCCATACTCGTATACCTCTCGTAATCATGACATCTCTGAGGATTTGTGCCCCAAAAAATGTTCCAAAGCTTTGGACAAGAAAGATTGGGAAGAGACAACATGTTCTGTTTGTATGGAGTGCCCTCAAAATGCTGTTCTTCTTCTCTGCTCATCCCATGACAATGGCTGCCGTCCTTACATGTGTGGAACTAGCTTCCAATACTCGAACTGCCTTGATCAGTACAAGAAGTTCTACACTAAAGTACTCTCGTCCAATGAGGATGAACCTCTGATTAGTTCCTTTGATAATCCGGTCTCGGCACCACGTTCTGGTTTGCCTGTCGAGAAGCGTGGAGTAACAGAACTCGCGTGTCCACTTTGCAGGGGTCAGGTAAAAGGATGGACTGTAGTAGAACCTGCAAGGGAATATTTAAATGCTAAAAAGAGAAGCTGCATGCAGGATGACTGCACCTTTGTTGGGACTTTTAAGGAACTAAGGAAACATATGAGATCGGATCATCCATGTGCTCAGCCACGAGAAGCGGACCCTGTTCTCAAACAGAAATGGAGGAGGCTTGTACAGGAACGGGAGCAGGAGGATGTGATAAGTATAATAAGATCGGCAATACCAGGGACAATGGTTTTTGGTGATTATGTAATAGAAGGAAATCGCCATGGTTTTGGGACAGATGAAGATGATGGTCTCGATGTAGATACTGCCGAAAGGAATGGAGGTTTGGAAGCAAGCTTAGATAGAAATTTCATTTTTCTTCTGCTGCATGCATTTGGGCCATCCAGGAATGACCTGTGTAGACAACCAAGGCAGCCTACGCATACAGCAGATGACACCTCACCTGTTGGCTTATCTGATCCAGATGACGACAACTTTAGTAGTGACGACAATGATGGAGGCAATATCTCTTTGGTTAGCCGCCTCCGCCAGAGAAGACGGAGTCGAAGAGATGCCACCGGAGATCAGATATAAGATCGATAGAAGTTAGTACACCTTCAAAGGAGGACAAACAGGCAGGTTACATGTCATCAATAGTGTTAGGATTACACTTTTGAAGTTGCACTCATTCATCTTAACTTCTGTATATAGACTTTGTACTGTGAATAAGAAGCCTCTGGTCTTTCCATAGGATTGTAAAGAAACATTCCAATGTGTAGTTGATTGCTGAATAATCCTTATTCGTCATATATACGGTACGGATACATGAACATGTCTAATATACGTATATACCAAAGACACGGATATACCGTTTATTAGTTCTTGTACTATGTTTATGTTGTAAATTTGGTCTTTGTACTCGAATTTGGTCATTTTCTTTAATCGAATTTGGTCTTTGTATATATATATATATTGATATATCAATATTGAATTATTAATATAATTATCTCTTATATTTTACATGATATTAAATTTCAATTATCAGAAAATATAAAAATCCTCTTAGTTTAATATATATATTCTATATTACATTCGTTTACAATCTTAAATTACAATTTACTCATAAATTTATAAATCAAATATTTAATCTTAAATCACACGAAACAAGCACGGATGCATCTCTCTCACTTAACTGATTCAATTAGGGTTTCATTAAGATCAAAAGAGTGTTTTTTTAATTTAACTAAAACAAACAGATGTTGAGATTGCAGCAGCACTTAACGAGGAGGAGAGCTGGGCAAATCCACGTGTCAGTTTTTTATAGGATGATTATTCGGATAGAGCGGTTTTCAACCCCACAAATCCTAAAACCCTAATTCCCCTCTCCAAACTCCAAACATTACACATCTTTCACCTCCTCCTATTTTCACTGCAGTGTTCAAAGAGATTTTCTCAATACATATAAAGCCTCTTTAGCCTTTGCCCCTCTGTAAACTCAAAGCTTCCTTGCAGCCACTCTGTTTCGCCCAGGTAACTTCCTCTTCTTGTTGGTGGTGCTCTTTCTTTGTTTCTCTAACCGTAGATCTCGATTACACCTTTGGTTTCGTTTTATTTGATATGAGTTTAATCTCTAAATGATTTCCAACCTTTGGGGCTTGATTTTGTTTAGTTTCTAAGAAAAAACTGAACTTGAAACTGTGTTTTTTGGTCCTAAAAGGATAGCAATGGACTGGTACCAGAAGGTGGAGAAGCCAAAAGCTGAAACACTCATAAACGAGAATGAACTCAGGATTACAGCCCAAGGGAGAATGAGGAATTGTATTTCTTACTCTATTACTCTGCTTCAGGTTTCCCCCTTTTTTCTATTGGATATTGGCACTGCGTTTAATGTATTCTTATACTTGATTTGATTTTGTTGCGGAAGAAGAAAGTGGTGTGCTTGAGGTTAATGGACATTCTGTTGATTTTACTTCGTGCTGTTTTTTTCCTTTTATAGGAGAAAGGTGCCAATGAGATTTTACTTAAAGCCACGGGCAGAGCTATCAACAAGACTGTCATGATTGCTGAATTAATTAAGGTGTTCTTCTTTTTTCGATTCTCTTCTGTTTAAGTTTCACTTTTCTTAATCTTGATATGTGGAAACATGTTTTAGTGTTATATAATATGTAGATATGTATTTATGCATGTATGTATGTACCCTTTGATTTTGTACTAAAATGTGTTAACCGTCTCCCAGAGGAGGATTGCTGGTCTTCATCAGATTACATCGACCGGATCGATAGACATAACTGACACGTGGGAGCCACTGGAAGAGGGCCTTCTTCCGTAAGAGCTATTCCTTCCTAGCACTAAAAGCATCAATTTTCTTGCTAGAACTAATATCATTGCCACTAATGTTCGGTTTGCTTGTGCAGCCTAGAAACCACTCGCCATGTTTCAATAATCACGATTACTTTGTCTAAAAATGAGTTGGATTCATCTTCAATAGGGTATGTGGCCTCTTTTTATCTGTATTTAAAAGTTGACAATGTTGAAAACAGTAATGTGCGCTTGATCCTGTTTATTAATGATGTCTTGGCATGGTGCTTTGTTTTGGTCTGTTACTTTAATGTCAGATATCAACCTCCGATTCCAGCTGATCAAGTGAAGCCCTTGACTGAGTTTGAGGACAATGAAGGAGGTTAGAAAATTATCTAGCATTGATGTTATGCATTTTGGGTTTATCTCGAATCTTGCATTAATTGATATTTGTACTTCCATATCATGGAAATTGAAGACCTCTCTTAGCATCCAGAGCCAAGCACATGGTCAGGGAAAGTATGGAGGTGTAGCCAATCATCATGTCTTGTTTTGTACTATAAAGCATTAAAGGCGTTTGAGCAAAGATATTTTCGGAATTTTTGTAGTACTTGTACACGTTGAGAAGTTAAAATTCATCTACAATTTCGGCTCTGTCATTTTGCTTTTCCAATGCGAGTGTGATTAGTGATCTGGTGATGAGTAAAAGGACTCTTTTTTGGAAGGTTAATTGAATATCATATGTTTTTAGTGACAAATGGTTAAGGGAGCAGTAGAGGTTGACAGCAAGGTTGCTGACTTGCTGCTATGTTTGTTGGTTACAAATAGTTGCTTGGTTTTGTAGCACATAGGTGACTTTCCATAAATAGTTTTATATCTACTGACGATTGAATTAACTTCAGCACATATAGGCCAACACTTAGACGAGAATGTTACTCATGCAGGCAATGTCAATGGTGGCATGGAAGAGAACAGAAATGGAGGATATGATGGTGGGCGAGGTTATGGAGCCAGACATTGAGGTCGTGGGAGGGGTCGTGGTTTCCGAGGGCATGCGAGAGGGTATGGTGGAGGAAATATCCAACAAGACTCGGGATATTACAACGGTAATGACCCATCAGGACCATTGCCTTCCCAGGGTCGTGGTAAGTTTTTGCTTCCAATGCTTTCTTGTCAATTTGCTGTTTTAGTGACTAGAAGGCCCAACCTTTTTCCCCAACTTTCAACAGAAGCCTAAACACGTTTAAAATTATTGCTGTCACCAAATTTGGCTAATCAGTGATATTGGCAGGTCGTGGACGAGGAAGGGGACGTGGACGTGGACGCGGTCCAGCTCAGGGTTTCGTATTGATGGTCCATTCCAGAAAGGTGCTTGAGCTACAAGCACCATCCTATATCCTTCCGCAGAACTATGGCTTTAGATTGAAACAAAACCATTGGATGGCTGCTCTATTCATCGCCAGTCTTTGTTTTAAACAACAAAAGTCATTTTAGACATTATTTAAGGTTTTGTTTGCGTGAGATATTGTGCTGTAAGGGACCTTATAATGTTGGTTTTCATTCTAGGACGCAATTTGTAGGAAAGTTGATAGGATAGTTCATCTCGCTCAACCAATGTTGTATAATTTTTCAGCATTACTTTCTCCAAATAATAGAGCATTACATTTATTCTTCCAAACATATCTTATTCTACTATGTGTATTATACAAATGTTGGATACGATATGGATACAGATACATACGTAACACTATGAAACTTGTACTTGTATGTGACTAACATGCATAGAACGAAAGATCGAAGCTATGCTTTCTTCAACACATTACATAGTAGAGAATATAGGAAGATGCATGTAGCATGTAGATTTTGATCTTCCAGGAGCTAATCCAAATTCCCATCTGCCATGGAATCTGCACATTGTAGAAGATATAGTAAGATGCATGTAGCATGTATATTTTGATCTTCCAGGAGCTAACCCAAAGATACTAAGACCGATACGGATAAGAAAAACGACAGCCTTACCCAGATTGCATCGAATCTGGCACTTGCGTTCACAACGCTGCGTAAACCTTGCTGCAATCAATCAACCAAAATCAAACACAATCATAATTCATAATCCATAAAAAAAGGGTTGGTTTTTTCTCTCCAAGTACTTACAGTTGGTTAGAGGGCAACCAGTAACACAAGCATCGAAGCAATCCACCTGTGGCTCGACGCTTTCCATCTGTGAACTGATAATGCAGAAAATGAAAACTGCAACTATTATCATATTCTTCGTCCCCATCTTCTTTCTTTTATCTTCTTTAACGTATGACGTTTTCACTTTGTTATGAAAGGCTTATTTTGTTTTTATATAGGGAATTTGTTGAAAGCACCCATTTACTTGCATTAAACTACGTATTTGCCATGTCCATGAACAGCTCCCCTAGCAGCCATGCACGTGGGCCATTGATACTTATGGCACCGGCTGCAAATTATACTCCCCTAGCCGCCTACTTTTACGCAAGTCAAATTCTTCTTTTAGTCCCTCTATTATACTTAAATTTAGGGTTTTTGTCTCAGCACATGTCAACATGTGATTCACTCAATCCCTAGTTAACAGCACAAAGGAAATCCTTTCATTGAAATAAATCTATTAACAAACAATATATCCTAGCAGCTAGGTATATATATATCTAGCTATATATGGGCTATAATAACAGTGTGATATATCAGTTTCATGAGTGTACAAATCTGACCTTTGAACTACTATTGAAGAAAGAATCACTCTTTATATCCCTGTGTAAATGACAAGAAAACTAACAATGAACTTCAAAAGAGTGTCTTCTGCAATGTTTGCAGAACTGTAAGCTGCTAATGGACCCAAAACTTGAAGCTCTGGAAATGGCATTTCAAGCTAGAACTATTGCATGGGGAGCTTCTATGTCTTCTTCATCTGTTTCCTTGATCTCACTTTGTTTATCTTCTTCTGTTGCTTCATGTGAATCTACTGTTGGCACTGGTACTAACTGAGTTTTCTGTTTCATCTCTTTGGCTTTGCCCCATAGCACCACGTATACTCCACACACAATCATCAATCCTCCTATGATACTGTTGATTTCCATAGAAAAGAACAAACAAGACAATTAAGATTTGACTCAAATTATTCGGATCTGAGGGTGAATCTCGTATGCATAGAGATGATGATCAGATTCAGGTTATATACTTTAAGTTTGAGATGTACATGTACGAGTAATTTTAGGTTCAGAATTTTCTCATGTTTAAACCGTTTCAAGTTTTTAAAGTTCGAATTGTTTTGAATTTAATAAAATTTTCAAGTTTAATACATTTAAGCC